CTCCCTCCCTCCCTCCCTCCCTCCCTTTTTCTTTTCTTTTTTCATCATCTTGATTCTTTTCGTCACGTTGCATCTCGCCCTTTGTCGCTTTGATCCCTTTAACCGCATTCACAAATTAACGCCCTCGTTTGCGAACTGCTGTCGACGATACTACTTGCGCAGGCGACGTGTTAAATCTACTCGAGCGTGGCAATTCGTCCGCGATACAAAAGCCGAGCTTGGTCACCAGCCACCTGAGAAGAATGGGAAAGAGTTATCGGAACGTTGTAACCACTTGTTACACGACAGCTTCGAACATGTAATCGCGTTCGAAACTGTTTGCGTTTCACGCAAGTTCTCCGGTTGGTCTGCGAATGTTTATATATGAAATGTGTGGAATGTAACACGCAAATAATATATAGAAAATATCTAGGATTTAGCGTAGAGCGTAGCCTTCTCAGGCTTCTTTAACTTCTTTAACCCTCTGAATCGTACAATCGGTGCTAATCGAAATAGATCGAAATAGATAAACCGAGATGCTTGTAACAATTCGTTTATTTATTGAAGAATATAGATTTATAGTTTGGAGGACATCCTAACAATTTTTGGACGAAAGTGTGTTTTTCTTTCGGCAGATGGAGTATTGTTCGAGTTATATTTGACGATGAAAAATATAGAATTTATGTATGTATTTATTCTTTGAATTTAATGTGTGCTCTAAATTCTTAGATGGCGGTGTATGTTTGAAAACGAATACATCCTTAATGTCATATGTTTCTCATTTGATATTAAATTTTTAGATACGATATTACTTTTAATTAATTAAGGGTAAAGTATGAGTTTTTGCGAACATCTGTTAACATCTGTCCACTTTGTACGAGGTTGATATATAATTATTTCTCATTAAATTAATAATTTTCGATATCGATATAAGTATCGATTAATTAAATAATGACCATTTTCAAATAAATAATTAAACAAAAAAAGATCTTAATCATTCTTCTTAGTGGGAATGTAAAAATCGTCCTGCAATCGAACGCATTGAGACGTCGATCAAAATACGAATTCATTTGCGCGATTCTTTTCGTGGTCGATTTTGCAGAAATCTTCGCGAGGGGAATGAGAAAACTATGAAAATCGAATTATCGACACGTGAACTTCTGTCTTCTACTTCTTCCCCTCCTTCCCCCCGACTTTTAAGAATTACGCAATCGTATTGTAACTCGACGCGCGATGCGGCTGTGAAATTAGCGGTGCACCAGATAACATAGGAAGTGACATGAAATTATCAGCCGGAAGTATCGTTCCGACTTGGCTGTAAAGATTCGATAACGTTTCTTTCTTTCGATTTTCACGCGTTCCCTTTTCATCGTAAAATTCATCGCCTTTTCACGCAGAGAGTTCACGTGGTTCTCGTAGCTCATTTTCACGCAGTGTTTCAAAATTACAAATTTTATTTTAGCGTCTTATGGAAGAAATATCCTGAAAATTTCATCAGAGTGTCAGATGTATCAGATGTACTCATATTTCAAATATTCTGCTTTTTTTTTTGTGAATGGCAGATAGAATCGGTATGAAATAAATTCAATGTTACGTAACAGAAACTTGCTGTTTAAAATAATTTTCAGTATCTTTAGCGATAGA